CAAGCAATACGTGACTGCGTTTGAAAAGGGCATTGTGGCTGCCGGGCGCGACAAGGCCATGGGTACGCTCAGCCGGGGCGAAGAGGCAAAGTACGTGTGTGGGTGGAACGCTTTTTTTTTTTTTTTTTTTTGTTCGCATGGACGTGGCACTGTGGTGATTCTAATACGTATGGCGGGCACAGAGCCAAGGAAAACAAGAGAACGTTGGAGCGAATCCGTGACGCCTACGAGACATCCTCAATTGGTGCGTCCCTCGGTGTCGCCGACCATCCCCTCTACATCGCTGGGCGCGACGTCCTTGTGCTTTTCCATGATACTCTTGCCCGCTACGAAGAGACCGGCAAAGCCCTCCAGCAAACCCTCATGGGTGCTGGCGACGGCGACGGCAACGACAACGGCGGTGCCGGTACTACGACAAAGAGCGTCGACGCCGTGCAGGTCTCCTGGCAGCAGGACCGCGCCGAGGCCCACAAGCTCCTCCGCTACGGCCGCGTGTACGGCGACAGTCTGGTGCATGAGATCATTGTGCCCAAGACACCGGCGGATGGGGGTGCAGCTGGCGGCGGCAAGGCAAAGGACCTGGTGTCCGGCATGGCGGCGCCCGCGGGCGGACTGAACCAGACGGGCCGCTCAGCGCTGCAGATGTTCCCCCGCAGCCGCGCGACGGTGGCGCGTGGCCAGACGTGGGGCGAGGCGGCCAAGTCGCAGGTGCAGGCGCTCAAGGGTCTGCTGAAGACGCTGCCGGGTGTTGGTGGGCAGGCGCACGGCGGTACAAGTGTGAGAAAATCGGTGACGTTTGATTGTTAGATGTGAGCGTTGGAAGCAGCATGTGCACGACATGGATTCGTTGATGTTTGTTTGTGCCCCGGAATGTCAACGATGGCACTAGTGAGTCCCAAGAGGCTCTTACAGCCTTGTCTTGCACTCTAGAAACAGCGGACCAGAGCTCCATGTTCTCAGGGCTAGAGCCAATCAAGAACAGAGTAGCGGGGCGGCAGCTACCAAAAAAAGTTCATACTATCTTTTATCGAGGCCATTTTTTACCGCAGAGCAGAATCAAGACCATTAGACGAAGATGCGATTGAATTGAGATACCCGGGGCCCAATTGCGCGTTCGACCAGAAAAACGCACAGCTACAAGTTTTTAACGAAGCATCGCAACCATGGCCACGACGCAGCACGTGCTGCTGTCGCCCGCCGAGCTGGCATTCCTCCATACATCGCTGGCGCAACAACCACCAATCCGCCCCGATGGGCGCACACCCGCACAGTTCCGTCCCCTGCGCGCCGAGACGGGCATGCTCCCTGGCGCGAATGGCAGTGCTCGCATATGCTTTTCCGATGGGACAGAAGCCATTGTCGGCGTCAAGGCACAGGTCGAACGCACAAGACGAGGCGAGGGCGGCGTGGGCGATGGCGATGACGAAGAGGAGGAGGAGGAAGACGGCTTGTGGGCCGACGCCGACGACGACGACGGCGGCGACGGCGAAGGCACAAAAGGGGGCGCTAAGAACGGAGGTAGCGGTGGTGGCTCGGGCGGCAATGCGTCGCCGTCGTGGGTCGAGGTGACGGTCGAGATTCCAGGCGTGCGCGACGACGACGCGAGCACGGTCTTTCTGGGCGCTCTTCTGGCCGAGGCGCTGCTGGCGGACGGTGGGCTCACAAAAGCACTGCGCATCAACCGGCGGTTCCACTGGAAGCTGTTTCTGGACGTGCTGCTGATCTCGCCGCCGCTGTCCTACCCGCTGCCCCTGCTGTCGCTGACGACGCATCTGGCGCTCCTGGCGACGCGGCTGCCCCGGCTGGTGTCGGAGGGCGACGAGGACCCGTTCTTTGACGACGACTGGGATGCATCGACATTCCTATACGCACAGGAGCAAACCTCCCAGTCAGATAGCGCGGCGGCATCAACATCAACACAGTCAACACAGTCTCGGCCACCCATTACGCTGCTCGTCATGACCGTCGGCGACAACATTCTTTTTGACCCCACGGCGGAGGAGCTGGCTGTGGCCAATGCTGTGCTGGCCGTCTCGGTCGGCCGAGTGGCTTCTTCGTCTTCTTCTTCCTCTTCCTCCTCCTCCTCCTCTTCCCTCCGTCTGCTTGCCATTCGCACCATTGACCCGCCTTCTCGGCTCACGGCTCCCGGATCACCATACGACCCCGACGCGAACAAGCCCAAGGCAACACCAACACCAACGGCACAACAAGACGGCAAACCGCCCGCTGCCACGGCTCGCCTGGCCTCGGAGACGGAAGACGTCTATGGCGTATGGCGGGCACCCCGTGGCGGTGCCAAAGTGGCCCTGCTGGCGGCCATGACGCACAAGGTCCTGCAAAAAGGAGGCGTGGCTGACGAGGTCTTTGCAGGCCTGGACGGCGTCGAGATTGTATAGGGGAGGGATTGGACGATTTGTTTTATGCTGCTGCATCTTTGGAGAAACGGCAAACGGTTGGGATTAACCGCAGACTGGGCGTCAAGAGCTATTGTCTTCATGTGCATTTACTTTCACGTTTGTCAGATACACTGCAGTGGCACACATTTGCAGTTGCTTTGAATGCCCAAATTTGACATTGTCTTTTTAAGAAAACAATATTCGTACACTGTAGTTGTGCTCTCGCTCAATTGCATTGCCACATGAGGATGGAGAAGGAAGAAATACAATATGGCCCCGACAACGGGGCACCTAAAAGATCCCGAGGAACTTCTTCCGCGGCCCGGCCTCTGCAGGTTCGTCTACGGGGGCCTCGCCGCGGATCGGTGATGCATCGTCCACCTCGTTGCGGGGCGGTGGCACAGGGCCCTGGTTCTTTTTGCCGTCACCGCCAAACCAGCCGCCGTTGCTGCCAAAGCCCACGGTCTCGTCCAGGCCGTGTGCCTTGCGGTACATGGTGCGCTTTGCCACGTCGTCCACGCGCATCTGCCGCCGCTCGGCAATCACAGTCACGCGGTGGTGCTCCGTCAGCCGCACCACCTCCAGCGTCGTGCGGGCCGCCAGGATGGGGTGCTGCACCGCCTCGCGCCATGTCGGCAGCATGTCGACAAACGGCGACGTCCGCCGGAAGTTCTCGACGAGCGTGAAGACGGCCAGCGCGGCCAGTGTCGACATGGTGATGCCCAGGTGGAAGCCGCGGCTCGTCCAGAACCAGTGCGCCCACGTGCCCGGCGGCGCCATCATACCCGGGTACTGGCGGGTGCGTTGCGCGGCGCGTTCTGCCGCGGACAGGTCGCCGCCGTAGTGCTGGGCGGCGGGCGCATTGGCGTTGCGCCGTGGCAAGCGGGCGCCATGCGACGGCGGGTTGAACTTGGCCGGCTTCTCGAGGATGTGTCCCGGGCTGCCACCCGCCGGCGATGGCGATGGCGAGGCTGTAGATGTAGAAGCGCCGCCGGCCTTGGGCGGGCGTGTCGAGGCGTGCCGGACGCCCTGGAAGACGCCCGTGCAGCCGCTGGTCGAGGACGCCGTCGATCTTGCCGCGGGCCGACTGGCGGTCGCCGACAGCCGCGACGCAAATGTGCGCTGCTGCTGCCACATGGGCCCGCGCCGGGGTAAAAGGAATCGAGGAATCGTAGCCATGGCCGCCGGATGCTGGTCGTTGCTTGTGGTTTGGTGGTAGGAAGGATGAGGACTAGAGGTCGTTGCAGCTGGCAGAGGGGCACAAAATGCAAATTGAGGAACGATTGACCGCCCCACCAAACCTCTTGACCTCTAAGTAGTGTCACGTGCGCCACACAAGGTGGTAGACCATCGACTCGAGTCGTCCACATCACGATCCATGCTCGGCATTGACGAGCGTGGGTCAAGCAAGCAGAAAACTCCAAAGGTCCTCTCTACTTGATCAATTGGCCGCCCTTGTCAATTTTGCGACGGCCAATCCAAGCGGGTGCAGACCTGCACGCAACGACGGCCTTTGTTCGGAGAGCTTTGGATCAAGCAGTTCTCATATCGGATAGTTGCATATTAGTGGTGACGAAAGAAAGCAACCTTTGTTTTTCCTCTAATACGACGTGGTCTGTGAATCCACCAGTGACAGACCCCGTGAGTCCTCCCGTGCTCAAAACACCCATACCATCGTACGATGTAAGAAACTCGGTGCTGATAGCAGTCCGAAATACGAGATATGCTTGGATGCCTCAGACAGAAACCACCAACAGCACCAGGAAACTGCTGGGGTAAATGGCCAACGGCTTAAAAATGGCACAAAGGTAAGATCTTACGACGTACTCGCTATGGCAGGCTGTTGAGCCGACGAGCCTCTTGCCTGTCGTGCCTTTGCCAGGCTGCTGTGAAAAAGAAAGGCTTCGATTCGCCAATTCGGAGTCCGCTAGAAAAGTCTGGACTGAAAACTGGATCTACGAAAACGCGGTGTTTGCTTTTGGTTCTGTGTGCTGAAGAAAATCTCGTTTTCGTTGCCTCAACACCAGGTGCAGCGTCTATTTTTTTTTTTTTTTTTTAGCCAACTGTCCTTCAGTGAGCTCTTTTAGAGAATTTTATTACCGGCCTCTCCCGATGGTGTGGGTACCTGACTCGCCTGCCTTTTCTGTCAGCTACGTTCAAATGCGCCGCCGCTGATTGGCTGCGCATGCGCTAGCACGCGCCCCGAGGCAAGTCCGCCACTGACGGGGATTGTGCGCCGTTTTTGGGCTAGTTTTGCAGGCCTCTCTGCCGCTGTACAGTGAGGGACCACCGCCAAAGCAGGGAAGGGGCGGGCCCATGAGCCATGCCATGGGCGCTGGCTGCTCCTTCTCCGGGAGGCCAATCCATTCCGTCACCCTGTGCGTCTATTCGTTTGGTCCTGCCTAACCTCTTTTCTTCCCTCGATCTCCTGTTTTTTCCCCGATTTGTTTTTCTTTTTCTCGTCTTCCGTTTTCTACCCTCTTCTTCTTCCTCTTTCGCTTTTTCTTCCCACGCACTCAATTACGCACCACCAGCTTCAATTCCAATCCCACATACTCTCCTCTACTTCTTTTTTCTTTACAACCTCTCACAGCATCACACAAAATGCCTGCCGGAAAGGGTAAGTTGTTTTCTTCTCGACTCTGGCTTCCTTCTCTGGGGAGCTTCGTTTTGCCGCCAAAAAACGTCGTGCAAGTCTGGGTCTCGATTGTCGAAAGCTGCCGCCCAGAGCATCATGCCACAATGCGCCCTCATTACTCGCCCCCGCTGTTTGCGCCCTCACCCTCCAAGCGTCTCACCGCCGTTCGCCGCAAGCCCAAAAGCCTCCACTCCGCCGTGCACACAGTCCTCGCAAGCCTGACGAAGCTGGAACTCGAGGGCCGCGGAACAAACTCTTATGGAGCTGTCCCGGGCCTCTGCTGTTGACGCTTATGTCTTGGAGAGGGCGGTCGGCGCATGAGAGCTGGGAATCACTCTGCACGCTCGTTGAGAGTATTGCAGCGGGGGAAACTGTCTTCCAACACCAGACCGGACGGGCGACTTTGAGCGACGGCACCAGGGGTGGTCTTTGGGCCAGCTTTCGACTTGTTGGCTGCCTTGGCTTTTCCTACTATGAAAATGAAAACGAAAAACTGCTAACACAGGACCACAGGTGACTCGAAGAAGGGCGCCAGCCTGTTCAAGACGCGCTGCGCTCAGTGCCACACCGTCGAGAAGGACGGCGGCAACAAGGTCGGCCCCGCTCTGCACGGCCTGTTCGGCCGCAAGACCGGCTCCGTCGACGGCTACGCCTACACTGATGCCAACAAGCAGAAGGGCATCACTTGGGCCGAGGACACTCTGGTACGTTGGCCCCAACTTCTCACCCCCAAACGTCGTCGCGAGCCAATTGTCTTGGCATGCCCTATCTAACATCGTTTCTAGTTCACCTACCTCGAGAACCCCAAGAAGTACATTCCCGGCACAAAGATGGCCTTTGGTGGCCTGAAGAAGGACAAAGACCGGAACGACCTGATCACGTAGGTTTACTGGCCTCCGCACTTGTGTTTACCGATACCACATATCACTACCGTATACTAACAACTTGCAGCTACCTGAAGGAGTCCACCGCATAAGCGGCCCAACGGAGGACGGGCGACGGTTGTTTGGCGTTGATGCGTTTTTGCTTTGCATTTTCGGCCGAGATGACGATTTGAAAGAAATGAAAAGAACCCCGGCGCGTTGTACGAACAGTAGCGATGGAAGAGACGGACGACGGAAGACGGCATAAAAAGAAACCATTCCGCACCAATTTATATACGAAAAATATTTCAACAAAATTTCACCCATCCACTCGATAGAGCCGGACCGAGACGAAGAGGCACAGGCGGTGAGCACCAGCAAACGGGCCTCCCGGACCACCTCCTTTCTCGGATCGGCATACACAGAACCCACCATATTAGACAGGGCCGAATAGAAACAGATGCACGAGATATAAGAAATGGGACAATGAGGCAACACAGCATTCCAGGACGAGCTTTCTTATGACCTTGGAAGGCGAACGACCGGATATATAAATGATGATTTACACAAGGGACTGTTTGGAGACCGAGTCGAGGTGTTGGACTTTGTTTCTCGTTCTTTTCTCTGTTGCGTTAATTCGTTGAGATTTAGAGACCTCGTTACGCTCTGACTTTATTTTCCAAGGCTGGCTTACCATGAAAGACTGTTCATTTTTTCGTGGTTGACGCCTTCTAATCAAACAAACAAGCACATTCTCCCCTCTTTACATAATCTGCATACTGATGTTTGTGAGATGTGCATATGTAGTTCGCAATGATATTATATAAATACAGGTATATTGTAGTATATGTACCGCTACACACCATCCCCTCGTCTTAGTGCAGCTTCTCGTACCGCCGCAGCTCTGCGAGGCTCGTGCTCGGCTGCGTCTCTGCAAGCGCCTCCTCCCAGTCGTCGGCCGTGATCTTCGGCATCTCTGCGCTGTGCAGGCCGGTCCGGTCGAGACTGTTCTTACCCGCAGTCCGCAGCAGGTGGTCCAGGTCGGCGCCCGAGAACCCAGTGCACCGTGCATCCATGGCCACGCCGTGAATGACGTCCATCGTCGCAGCCATGTCTGGATCGCCCGGGATCGCGTTGCGGTACAGCGTCTGCAGGATCGCCACGCGGTCTTCGGCCGTCGGCGGCCCAACAAAGATGCTCTCGCCCAGGCGGCCGGGCCGCTTCAGGGCCGGGTCGATAATGTCCGGCCGGTTCGTCGCGCCAATCACAAACAGCCCCGTGCGGTCGACCACGCCGTCCAACTCCGTTAGTAGCGTGTTGACAATGCGCGCGCTGCCGTCGGAGCGCGCGTCGTCGCGCTTCGCGGCCAGGGCGTCCATCTCGTCAAAGAAGATGATGCACGGCGCCATGGCCCGCGCCCGCTCAAACAGCTCGCGCAGCGCGCGCTCCGACTCGCCGACCCACTTGTTGAGCAGCTCGGGGCCGCGGATCGAGATGAAGTTGGCCTTGGACTCGTTGGCCACGGCCTTGGCCACCAGCGTCTTGCCGCAGCCGGGGGGTCCCCACAGCAGAATACCGCCCATGGGCTTCTGGCCGACGGCGGCGTACTTGTCCGGGTACCGGATGGGGCCGATGATCGACATTTCCAGCTTCTTGCGCAGGACCTCCATGGCGCCGACCTGCTTCCAGGTCGTGTTGGGGATGGTGCTGAAGCCCTCGCGCTTGGCGGCCGGCAGCACCGACAACGCGGCGTCGCGGAAGTTCTGCGATGTGATGCCCTCTGCGCGCGGTGCCGCTGTTTCCAGTATCCCGTTTGCCGCGCGTGTCGCCGCATCGTCGCCGGAGGCGGCCGTCGTCGAAGCGGCCGTTGAAACGCCCATGGCAGCGGCCGCCAGCGACCGCTCGTCCTCGTGCGCATTCAGCAGACGAATGTCCCGCTGCACATCGGGCACCGTCTCGGCGTCGTTTGGTGTCGACAGTGCTGACACAGTCATCCGTGTATCCTCCTGTGCCTCGCCCTCCGGCCATGCGGACCCGCCACCCTGTCCAATCTGCTCCGGCCCCGCCGCCGTCGCCCGTAGGCGGCGAAGCACGGCGTCCAGCTTGGCATCCATGTAGTTGCGCTGCGCCGTCTTGACCACGTTCTGCAGGTCGCCGCCGACAAAGCCGGGCGTCATGCGCGCAATGGCCTTGAGGTCCACGTCCTCGGCAAACTGCATGCCGCGTGTCATCGTCTGCAAGATGCGCGCACGCGCATCCTGGCTCGGCATCCGCACCGCAATCTCCACGCCGAACCGCCGCCGCACCAGCGGATCCAGGCTGTCGGCCTTGTTGGTCGCGGCCAGCACAATCACGTACTTGCCCGTGTTGGCCTCCGCATTCAGGCGGTCGATGCAGCTCGTCAGCGTCAGCGCCATGCGCATCTCCATGGGGCCCTTGCCGGACGCCTCCTGCTTGCTGGCCAGCGCCTCAATGGCGTCGAGGAAAATCAGGCTCGGCGCCTGCCGCACGGCCTCGTCAAAGATGGCGCGGATGTTGGTCTCGGACTCGCCGCTGATGCCGCCGACCAGCGAGGGGCCCGACACGGAGAAAAACGGGACGCGCGCCTCGGCGGCCACGGCGTTGGCCAGCAGTGTCTTGCCGCAGCCGGACGGCCCGTACAGCAACACGGCCTCGTTGGGCCGCGAGCCGCTGTCCTTGAAATCGAACCCGCGCCGCAGTGGCATCCACACCAGCCGGATCAGGTCGCGGAGGATGTCGTCCATGCCGGCAACGTCTGCAAACGTCGGTCCGTCGGACGGCAGTTTTGTGGGTACGACGGCGCCCTTTTGTTTGTGCTCTCGGTTGTCGCTGTCGCTTCCGACATCCCCATCACTGCTGTCGTCGTGCCGCCGCCGCTTCCGCTTTCGCACAATGCGACCGTTGGCTGCACCGCCTTCGACGCCCGCCCGCCGTATCCGTTTTCCCGTCGGTGCGGATGTTGCTGTGGCGTCCCCCTCTGCTGCTGCCTCGCCCTCGGGCGCAGCCACACCATCGGCTGCTGTATCCATCGCCGTTGTACCGTCATGTGCCGCAGCCGTTGCCTGCGCGTCGGTGGACGACGTTGGTTGTGATGTCGCTGTTGTGTCTGTTGTGCCTCGTTTGGCCGCCGCCGCAGACTCGTTCGCCTTCTCCGCCGCCTGCATCGCCTGTGCCGCCATGGCTGCGCCCAGACGGTCGTCGAGCACTTTGGACGCCAGCGCCTCCAGGTACTTTTTCTTTTGCCGGGCAATGGCGTGGTTCCGGATCTGTTGCAATTGCCCAACCAGCATCGACACGGTGGGACGGCTTGCGCCTGGCTTGCCCGCGTCGTACTCTGCGTACAGTGCCTCGGCCACCTCCTCCGCTTTCCGCTCCTCCTCGCGGCGGAAGACGAAGCCGTTTCTGCCAGCCGGAGGCGCCATCTGCCTGGTGGGCGTTGATGCAACGATCCTCAAATTGAAATGACGGAAGGGAGGAGGTCAAAGGCAAAGAAGTCGTCACAAACAGGCTGGAAACTGTGAGACACAGCCGCTTGGGACAGCTGCTCGATTTCGCAAACAGAGAAAATTCACCATGAAAACCGCAAGGCTGATCCGAACTTTTTTTTGTTTCTACTCACTTATCTCTTATCTCTGTTATCTCCACGTGATTCTCTTCGCCACTTTAAAATAGCCTGGCCAGCCTCACAGCCTTGCCGCCAATTTGCAGATGCTCTTGCATTGTTCCACGCGGATATGGAACTTGTCCTTTTTTTAGTATTGTGCGGTAAATTATCGTTGTGAATTCCATCGATGCTAGAGGCAGTTGTAAATTCAAAATAAATCGATTCAGCGGGCCAAAAAAACACTACGCTATGAAGTTTGCAATCTAGATAAAAACGAGGCTGTTGGCGCTAACATGATCCAGGTATCGTTGTCGTGAGAGAAATTTACGCAAAATTGGAGGGGAAAACAGGAAACAAAGCAAGGGGTCAGGCTGGGAGCAGTCTAGAGAAGTCCAATCAGATAGAGTAAGAAAACAGATCGAGGATGACAAGCCAACGGCGAGTTCAGTAGACGCTGCCCTGGATGCTCTTGTCATCGCGCTCCGCTTGGGCCATGTCAGGGTCGACGTCGGTCGCATCGTCTCCGTTCGAGTCGATGAGGACGACATCCGCATTGAGAAGCTCATCGGTCGCGTGCAACTCGTCAGCACCCACGTCCGTGGTGTCGCCGTGGTCGTGGTCGTGGTCGTGATCGTGATCGTGATCGTGGTCGTGGTCGCAGTCGCTGCAGTACGGCGCGTCGCCCAAGCGGTTGGCCATGTTCTTGGTGCGTTTCTTGCGAATGTTGCTCAGGTTGGACGAGCCACCACCCACACTACCGGCCGACATGGGTCCGCCTTGCAGCGTAGACACTGCCGCCGCAGCCTCCGTCTTGCTTGTACCACTGCGCGGCATCGTGGCAGACGCAGCAACGGCATCAAGCGTGCCGTACACGAACCTGTCGCTGCTGTGACTGCCATAATAGTTGTGGCCGTGGCCGTGACTGTGGCTGCGCGTGTACTGCGCACCCGACTCCGTGGAGCTGCCAGCGTGCAGCTTCAAGTGTGCCATGCGGTGCCGCACGCGGTCGTCCTCAGACGAGTCGGCGTCGCTTGTGTGTCCACTGTACGTCCCGCCGAAATCGCGCCCAATATGCAATAATGACTTGGGCATGGGTGGCGGCGAGCTGCCGGGCGAAACAACCCGCTGGCGGTCCTCGGGCGTGATAAACGAGGGCGTGGCGTCGGGCGACGAGACAATCTCCTCGCGGGCACGCGTAATGTCAATATGGGGAGGCGCCAAACCACCCGCTGCGCCACTGCCGCTGCCAGTTGCATTTGCGGCATGCATTGCGCTCTTGCTGGACGCATCGTTGCTCGTGTCGTTCGAGGCCTGCGATGAGGGCCGGTTGTCGTCGTCCACTTCATCGCCACCATCACCGCCATCGTCGTCGTCGCTGTAACCAGCCACCTGGAAGCGGCGCACGGCGGTGGTCCGCCGAGAAAGCGAAGGTGGAGTGCCGCTGGTTTTTCCGTGGCCGTGGTTGTTGATCGCCGACGTGGATTTCGACGCGCGCGGGCTGCCATTGGCATTGTCATAGACGTTGGTCCCGTCGCGTAGAATTAAATCGGCGAGTCCAGGACGGATCTTGAAGTTCTTATCGTGATTGCAACCATTAGGACAGCCGCCCCATCGTCTTTGCGGCACCAATGCTGTGGAGGACGGGGAGGACAAACCAGATTCAGCCCTTTCCAATTTGGCGCTGTCTTTGTCTCCCTTTTCGCTCTTCTCCTTGGAAGCGAGTTCCTCTTTCTGTTTAAGGAGCGCGGCCCGCTCGCGCCGCAGCTCGGACCAGGTGCGGAGCTTGCTCTCGAGTTTGTACTTGCCGCTGTCCCCCTGCTTGCGCATAATGAGGAACTCGCAGTGGTTGACGTTGCGCAAGTCCTCAAAGTACTCGACGCTAAAGTGGTACCACTTCATGAGGAAGACGCGTGACATGAGACCATGTGTGACTTAACGGTGTCAGCTCTTGCTGTATGGAAGCCGTGGGGGGGGGGGGGGGGGGGGAGAATAGACGTACCGAGAACACAAACACTGGGAAAGTCATCCTCGCCAAATTGGCGCCACAGGCTTTCGTTGAAGCCCGAGACACGGTCGTAGGCGTCGGCGGCGCTTTCACCGTTGGGGATGCGGTAGAAGAAGTGGCCGTAGTCGGCACGTTCCTGCCACATACGCTCCATTTCCGCGCTGCAGGGCTGAAAGTTGCCGAAATCCTGTTCGCGGAGACGGGGCTCCTCGTAGACTTTGATGTTGTTGCGCTTGAACGGGGAGGGTTCCGGGTCGTCTGACGTCAGCGTCTGCAAAATGCCTTCCGTGGTCTCACGCGTGCGGCGATACGGCGATGTGAAGACCTGAATGGTATCGTCGGCGCGCAGAAGGGCACGCAGACGGCGACCGGCATCGTACGCCTGCTGCCATCCTTCGTGGGTCAGGCGAACTCGGTGGTCCGGGATGGTCTGGTGGATGTCACGGTTTTCTACGGTGGGAAGCAGGTTGTCAGCATACCATGCAAACTTGAGAAGCGGGAGCAAGTAGACTGCCCGCGGTGGTTACGTACTGTTGCCTTCAGACTGGCCGTGTCTGACAATAATGAGGAGTCTCGGCTTTCCCATGGTCGGTAGAGGTCACACCAGGGAAGAACAAGGAAGAGCGCGGGTTGAGCGCGACGGAAACTCCAGCACGAAAGAAAAGTGTCGGAGCAGGTTTGAAGCGATGCCGGAAGGGAGAGAATCAACAGAGTTGCTTGGTTCACAGGCGAGGTGTATGAGACGAATAAGTGTGTATGAGGTGACGATGTGGACCTCAGCAAGTAGTCTGACGAAAAAGACGGTTGCTTGTCTGGACGTTCGTACTTGTGGCGACTTTATCGTCCTGGGGGGACTAGTGTTTGAAGCTAGGCCGAGGGCGCGGCGGTTAAGGTAGGAGACGGGTCTTACGTAGCCTGGCCAAACTGAATGCCAGCGTCGACCTGTGAGACGAGCACTGGATCGAGACAGAGCAGTCAGGGCGAAGAAAGGAAATAAAGAAATGAACAGGAAAAACTGCCAACAGGCGGCGTACACGCCACAGAAGAGGGCCCGCTGCTGCGCCGGATTAACCGCAGGGAGAGTGCTGAAGGTGCGTCGATGTAGGCGCAAGGATGCAGCTTGGGTGTTGGCCTTTTGTAGATGGTGTGGTGGTGTTGACGATGTGAGTCAATGTGCCGTGGTATTAAAGTGCAAACAAATTGGGTTGCCTTATATTTTCTTTTCTTTTTTTTTCTGCCAAGGAAAGTGCGACAATGAGACGGTTGGGGAAAGAGCTGTTGCCACAACCAACCGGAACCAACGAATATGAACATCTGAAGGAAGGTGCGGCCAGGCCTGCCCCAGCAGCGGCAGTCGTTCACAAGGAAGGTGCAGGGGAAGGGGCCTAGATCGGCGGGAGTTGTCGGGCTGGAGGACTGGCGCGATTTGTTCGGCGGCAAAGGGCAGGCACAGCGAATGGCGTGTTTGCTTTGAGGTGTGTGTGCTAGGCGGCAGCTGGTTTTGGCGTCAATACGATGTAATTACAGGGGTCTTGCAGCGTTAACGGCAAGTCGCGGGCAGGCCGTTGTCGGTGCTGGCTTTTGTTGCGATCATGCGACTGGAAAACAGACGGTAGCCACCGAAACGGGAAGGTTTGATAACAGACGACAGATTCTTCGCTTCACGTGTTGGTCCTGAGTTCGAATTCACTTGAAGCAGTTGGAATGTGCATGAACTCGCTTCTGGACAATTCGATGCGGCTGTTGTACATGAACGGTCAAGAGACTGACATTCTCATGAGAAATGATAAAAAACTCTTACTATTGAAAGTCCTGCGTATCGCAGGTCTTATTTTCAAAAAGTCTGGGCGCCAAAACGAGGTAAGATATCTTGAGATGCCGTACTGACGACTTACACGAGTTTTGGTGCGCTCTGCGCTATCTCCATCTCGAGTTCGATCACGTGCAGCTCCACTCGGCTAGGCTAAGCGTATTTTCACCTTCTGCCTTCTACAGTCACGACGTCAACATCAATCGTCTTTTTCAACACCCTGACTTCTCGTCATTGCAGCCTCACTTTTGACCGTCGATTCTACCCCCACGAACCATTGTAACCGTCCTCTACTGCGTACCCACCATGTCCGGCGAAGGCCCTGAATCGATCCCCACCTCGGCCGACCGGCGCTCAAAGCGGCCGGTCAAGAAGCGCGCCCTGACACCTGTATCTGCGCAGGCGGCAGGGCTGGATGCGCTGTTTGCCAAGCCCGATCAGACAATAAAAATCCCAGTGTCCGCGGATGTCGCCCGCTTGCGAGGCTCGGGCGGGGGTGCACCCCCTGAGATCATCTCCAACGTGCAGGGCTCGAGCTCCGGTGCTGGCAGTGGCGAGTTCCACGTATACAAGGCGAGCCGGCGGCGGGAATATGCACGGTTGCGCGAGCTGGAGGAGGACGCAGCACGCGATCGGGACGCCATTGATTTCGAAAAGGAGAAGCGCGAGCGCGAAGCACGCGACGACGAGAAGACGAAGCGCAACCGCGAGAAGCGGGAAAAGGCAAAGGCGCGCAAAGCCAAGAGCGGCAAGAACTCGGGCGGCAACGGTGGTGGTGCAGCAGAAGTGCAATCAACAGCGGCGTCCTCAAAACCCGTCGGCCCAAGCGTCGGGCGCGACGGTGACGACGAGGAGGACAGCGAAAGGAGTACCAACGCCGCGGCGGCAAACGGCGACAAGGACGACGAGAACCGCGCAACAAACGGGGCATCTGGCAAAGCAAACGGTGCCAGCGGATGGACAAGCCAAGCACCAGTTGCACAAGAGCCGCTACAGGCTGCTGAAGGACCCGGCCTGCTTATCCAAGACGATGACGATTGAGAGCCGCGCAGCGTAGACAGCATACAACCGACAACTACGCACTCAGCGTCAGCGTGATATCCTCGCTGTTGAATGCCACGAATCAGCATGTCGAGCACGTCAAGCAGATTAAGCGGCAACCTCGACCGGCACAGATGTGTTCGCGAATGTCTTCCTAGAGGGCGGTCCATTTGTGATCCGTGTCATACAAGGACATCGAAATACCGAATGAGAGAGCGCAGGACACATGTCCATGGCGACAAGAAGTTCCAAAAGATTACCCAGGCACGCCGTTTGTCAGGCGACACAAAAATGATACAGGATATTATTTTCTTTGTGACCATCTCGAGACGCCTAAGCCATCCCTACTATACATGAATGCAACTATTTATGTTCTGCCTTGGGCAGCCGATTTCAAAATAAAAAGTCCATATGTTTTGTCTTACCGGTTGTTTATTTTTTTTATTTCATCCTTCTCTTTTCCTCCGCCTTCCACACATGATTTCCTCAAAGATTGTAAATCCCACGTGTTTGCGTCAAGCTCGCACGTTTTAGCTGACCTCGGCAAGGTTGTGTGGTTGATTGTCAGAGACAAGGCGCAACATCCCCCTCTTACGAGTGACTCTCTATTCGTCACCACCAGCACCCGTGCCCACACCTGGTTGTGCCTTCTTGGCACTGCAGATGTCGTCGACTCTCAGCAACAGGCAGGCGGCCTAAAGGGGAGAAAAACACAAAATGTTAGCGGTCATCGTGTCCAAATCCATTTTTTTTTTTAAAAAAAAAGGATGGCAGGGATGGCAAACATACCTCAATCGCCGTCTTGATGCTCTGCACCTTGATCGCCTCCGGCTCCCACACACCGTACTCCTTCATGTCCACCAACGTGCCCACATCGCCGTTGATGCCCCAGGTGCTCTTGCCCTCGGCGTGCTTGGCGCGCAGGTCCGTGATCACGCGAACGGGGCTCTGGCCGGCATTCTGGATCAGCGTCCGCGGGATCACCTCGAGCGCATCGGCCACGGCCTTGTACGGCCACTGCTGCACGCCCTCAATGTTCTTGGCCAGCTGGCCCAGCCGCACGGACACGGCCATTTCGGTGGCACCGCCGCCGGGCGACAGCCGGGGATTGAACATGACGTTGCGGGCGACGCCCATGGCGTCTTGCAGGTTGCGCTCAATCTCGTTGAGGATGTCCTTGGACGGGCCGCGCAGCAGGATCGTGCAGGCCTTGGGGGTCGTGCACTTGGTCAAAAAGGTAAAGTACTCGTCGCCAATCTTCTCAATCGCAAAGAGACCGCACTTGGTGCCGACATCCGACTCCTGCAGGTCCTCGACGCGGTTGACAATCGTGGCGCCGGTGGCGCGGGCGATTCGGTTGTTGTCCGTCTTGCGCACGCGGCGCAGGGCCGTCACGTTGGCCTTGAGCAGGTAGTGCTGTGCCAGGTCGGAGACGCCCTTTTCTGTGATGACAATGTCCGGATGGACGGCGAGCACCGCGTCGCACATGGCCTTGACCTGCTCCTCCTCAATCTGCAAGATGCGGTTCCAGTCCTCCTCCTTGGAGATCTCAATGTTGGTCTGCGACTCGCCCTTTTTGTACTCGAGCGGGCAGTCCAGCAGCACGATGCGCGGGTTCTCAATCGTCCGGCGCATCTTGGGGTGCGTAATGTCCTTGTTGAGCATCACGCCGTCGAGCACGCGGCTGTCCTCGATCTCGCCGCCGGGCACCTTCTCGACACGTGCGTAGCGCTTGATGTCGACCTCGGGGCGACCGCCGTTGCCAATGTCCCAGACGACGGTGCGGACGGCCTTGAGGGCCAGGTCGCACATGAGCTTCGACCAGCGGGACACAAACTTGGTGCCGATCGAGGAGTTGATGAGGCCGTACATGGCCTTGTCGTCGTCAATGTCAATGGGGAGCGAGATCTCTTCTATAATTTCGAGCGCGTCCTTGAGGGCGCGCTTAAAGGCAGAAATGATGACGACGGGGTGGATGTTGCGCTCGAGTTGTGGCAGCGCCTGGGCCAGGATCTCGCCGGCCAGGATGATGACCGTCGTTGTGCCGTCGCCGACCTCCTCGTCTTGTGTCCGGCTCAGCTCGATCATGCTCTTGGCGGCCGGGTGCGACACCTCAATCTCGCGCAGAATCGCGTGGCCGTCGTTGGTCAGGACAATGCCGCCCATTGGGTCGAGCAGCATTTTGAGCATGGCCTTGGGGCCCAGGCACGACCGAATGATGTCGGCGACCGTCTTGGCCGCTGCGATGTTGGACAGCTGCGCCTTGCGGCCAGTCTGTCTCTCACCGCCTCCGGTGTCTGTGCAAAAGAAAAAGAGCAGCAGTTAGTTGTCTGTCCTCTGTCGTCTGTCGCAGGAGAGGAGATGCAGAGCGGCGGTCACGGGGTAGCTAGAGACCCTTCCAGACGAGCAAGCTCCAGAAAGCTCCTCACAAGCTCCGAGAAGCCTCATGCACTCCTCCAATGTTGCAATACATACTCATCACCAGCACGGGGGCCTGCATCCTTGCTGTTTGGTAAAGGGGCTCTGTTGGGTGGTCGTGGAGTCGGAAGAAAGAAGCTTTGAAATAGCTTCAGGCCGCTGACGAAGTCGAAGTCGCCTGGGGGGAAAACAAGTCGAAAAGACGACACGGACACTATGCAGTCGTGTACAATATGTTCAGGCAAGACGAGCAATATCGGGTATGGAAAAACAGACAAGAAAAAAAGAACGAGGCAGAGTAGAGCAAGTGCTGTCTTGACGTGCGTCTCGATATGCGTTTGCCTAGTTTCGATCGCGGGTCGTTGAAAATAATAGGAGATGGCCCCGCCGAAGCCTCCAGACACAAACGCTAGAAAAAAAGTGATTCGCCGCCAGCCAGAGCTACCGCTGTGCTCCCCCCCTGAAGGCAATTGCTCCAACAGCGAGGGGTGGTGGCGGATTAAAGGTACGTCCGGCGGCCGTTGCAGTCTCGCTGAGATAAGATAAGCAGTTCCGATAAGGATCTTTGATAATAAATTACACGTGACAAAGCACGTTTAATGATGTTTGCTTTCCGAAGTCGCTTTACGCCGGTTGGACCTTCCTCGTTCGCGATTTGGGCAATCCACACCCCGCATCTCAGTGCGCTCGCTATCAGGGCTCGCTATTTACATAGTGTCTCGATGGGTTGGATCGGCTTGGCCAGATGCAGGCCGAACAACCACCTTGCCGACCATCGCAATGGACACTTGACTGTCTCCACGTGCCCATGACTGTACGTCGCATCATTTCTAGCTCGAACACGAGTTGTCTTCTCTATCAAGTAGACCAGTGCTGTGACCAAAAAATCCCACCAAACACGGACGAATGGTCAAAACGATATTTCCGCTGCTGAAAGTCTAACGTCAGTCGACGGCATATCCTGTCACACTGGTCAACGGGAGAAGACGAAGACGAAGGGGAAAGACATAATAAGAGAGAGATAACAGCAACTTCGCACAAGTCTCCGTATCAAAAAGGCTCACTTCTACTATTCTCACTGATTCATTTTCAAGCCATAACTTCCCGAGCTCCATCATGGCACCTTCGGCTACGATCGAAGACGGCTCTGCAGCCGCCGCGGGCAGGAAGACCGAGGAGGCAATTGTGTCTCCTAGCCGGGCCATCTCCCACGGAGACGAGCAGGAAGGTAGGCCCGTCCCACCACGACGACACGACTTGCAAAGTACACGATTGCTGACTTCGAGCAGGCATCCCCACGTTCCCAACGTTTGTCGAGGCTCGCCGGCACACGCTCGTCCACATGGCGGCGACGTTCCGCTACTTCGCGCGGCAGGGCTTCGTCGAGGGCCAGAGCGGCCACATCTCCGTGCGCGACCCCGAGTTCCCGGGTTGTATCTGGATGAACCCGCTCGGCCGCCACTTTGGCATGATGAACGCTGGCGACATGGTGCTGCTCGACATTGAGACGGGACGCTTCATGGCCGGCTCCGGCAACCCCGCGGCCGCGGGCCGTACGGCGAACGCGGCGGGCTTCTTCATCCACCGTTCCGTGCACCGTGCGCGGCCACACGATGCCCATGCCGTGTGCCACGCGCACACGATTGCCGGCCGGGCGTGGGCGGCGTTTGGGCGGCCGCTGGACATGCTGACGCAGGACGTGTGCACGTTCTACGGCAAACATGCCGTGTACGCACAGTACGGCGGCATTGTGTTTGCCGACGAAGAGGGCGAGCGGATTGCAGCGGCGCTGCAGCCGGCGCACCGGGGCGCCATCCTGCTCAACCACGGACTGATCTCGGTCGGCCAGACGGTGGACGAGGCTGGGTTCTTGTTCGGGCTGCTGGACCGGTCCTGCAAGATCCAGCTGCAGGTGGAGGCCGCAGCGGCCAACGGCCTCAAAAAGCACCTGGTCAGCGACGAGGAAGCGGTATACAACGAGCGGATGGGCGCCGATGCCCATATATTGTACCGTGAGGCGCAGCCGGATCTCGAGTTTGAGATTGCGGCGGCAGGCGGCGAGGACGCCGTCGCCAGGGGCTTTGACCAGCTGGTGCTAAAGGTCGAGTAGACGGCAACAGTCTCTGCATGAAAGATGTGCATGAGCACATATCTAACAAATTGATGTCCAGCGAATTCAAACGTCTTGAGTGGACGTCGTCGGACTTGGACAGGATGGTCGTGTGCTTTGATGTTTGAGGAACGATGCTCTGGAGCTCTCTGTCTCGAATCTTGTTCAACACAGCAATAGCTACATCGATACACAACAAAGCAAAGCAAGAACAGTGCCAATGTAGGCCCTCCAAGTCATGCCTAACCCCTCGCTTGCTGCTGCATCCTGCGATACCACAAACTCCAGACCTCAGAATTTCAGGCTACACAGACGCCTTAGGGGCAATTTTGCCGTGCAGCGGGCAGCTGACAACTTTGCCATATGTCTCCCTTTCTCTCTCTCTCTCTGTCTGTCCTTGCTTGCTTTGCGAGCACCTTTCTCCATAAGACGAATGTCTCTTATCGACATTATTCCCCACGATGCCGCAAGACGACCATGACATATGCCTTCTTTCCATCCCCGGCCGTCGCAAGACACCGGAAGGGGCAAGGTCTTGCTGGCGTTTGTAAACTTTGTCAATTGTCAGCACCTTTACTTGCTGTGAGGTACTTATCACTTTGACAGTGTTCGTTGACTGGAATCCAGTGCCAGTTCGTTTGGAGCATTGTGCGCACCGAAGTTCAAGTTCGACCTCGAGGCAGCATCGCCGATACAGATACACCACCCATTTCATAATCTACTACGGAAACCAGCTCCAGACGAAGCACATGCGCGTACATGTGCGTCGCTCGTCGTGACCGGGAGGCTGCACCAGCAGTGTCGCACACTACACTTGCAGGTTACAAACGAGAGTGTACCCATAACACTCATAATGCATCGACATTTGGGAACAAGGCATATCCGGCGACACAGGCCGACGGGCGTGTCTGCTACTTGCCGTCGATGCTTTGCATATGGCGTTGTCTTATTTGTGTGTGTGTGTTCTGCTACGAGTCTGTCTTGTCGAACGACGGGTAAGCAACATCAGAGAATGAATAACAACACACGGATCCAGAAGGCGTTGAGTCAGAATAAGTGTCAAACTTAAGCAGTGCTTAGCTGGGCATAAGATGTCTCAAGGATTCAAGGAAGCAGCATTTTCTGAAAGCTGTCTCTATGCGGTTTTTTTGTCCCCGGCAAAAGACAGCTCATGGAGTAAGAGCATGGAACAGGCCTTGTTCGACTCCAGCGAGTCGGACGCGTTCCGCAACTGTCTTCTACCTCCTTCTTTTACTTCGCCTGTTGCCCAAGGTAAGCCAACCATGGCATCAGCCAATGGCTTGACTGTGCCGCGGAATCAGCCACGCACATAATATTACACTTTTGTCCAGAGACGCATACTCTGATACACCTCAGTGCCCCATACAGTGTATCGATTGCACGGCGCACGAGCACACGCGACTGGCACTCGAGAACGTCACACATTGAAAGAGAAACAGAAAAATACATCCCGCTCCTATCAGAAACGAAGGCGTGTTGGGGGACAAAGGTGCGCGAAATGGTCAGCCCGCGGTGCCGAAAACGCAGGACAGAGGAGTTGGAGCAAAACCACGGGACGACAAAGCAAAAGCGAGAGCGTGAAGGCGAATGCCTTGGATCCATTGTACGGCAGACACATGGGCACAGGCACAGCAGCACACAATACAAGAGGCGTAGACAGAGGCGCACAAGGCACAACGAGCTCCACATGAACGATGCAGGGGGCCGCGATGGGTGATCTCCGGAAGGACATGGCATCATTCGCGTGGTGTTACGTTTTACGACGCACGACAGTGGTGGCATGCGCCGCAGTGGATGCTCTTTGGGCATGAAAATTCGTTGTATTCCATTCACGAAACAAACCACCGCACTGTGCACATGCATATCCTTGCTGCTGTCCATTCGCTTTTCGTTTTCACGCCGATGGATTCCTAACTGGTTCTCTGCATAACATGTGCGGCACAAAGACAACACCAAGCAGCAAGTCCTCCGACAGCAGCACCGCCGAAAAGGCCTCGCACACAAGGATGCATCCTGGCACGTCGAGTTATCGGCTCGGAGGCGACCACGTCAGCTCACTCCACAGCTTACCGGTTTCTGAGTGGTTGGTTCAAAGAAGGTGCGCATCCAGCGCCATGCAAGAAGGGCATTGAAGGCGTGCTGCTCTCGGTTTCTTCCTATTCGGAAAACGGGAGGTCACTGCAATATGCAGTCAGGCAGTCGGCCTTTTGATCACCAAAGCACACCATACATGCCTTGCACGAGTCTGACAGGAACCAGCAATGGAGAGAGAGAACATGGAGTCACAAATGGAACAACAATTCAACACGTTGAACACAAAAGAAAGAAAAGTGGCAGCACAGAGCTTTTGTGCAGACATTGTCGCCCATTTTCAGCCATTGTCAAGCCATCTCCCCTCCTCTTGATACACGACGTATCACTGCTCCTTGGACGACACGGTCCCACAAAATTCGAAAGCCAAGGAGTTGACAAAAAGCAGCTTCCTACGACGTGTATACAATTACACAAAATATAGGCGTCGACAGGGGCGACAGCCTTCTTTCTGTCCCGCTCAGCACCTTGAGACTGGTCCGGTTGGTGCCTGTGCCGCCTGCGGGCCTTCCGAGGAGCAAAACACGGCTGAGGATGTCAGTGACATGGGAAAAACGTAACGTCGTCGTCAGGCCGTGTCGTTGAAGTCGTTGTAAGAGAGAAAAGTGGAGACGCGGGCGATCACAACCAGGCAATTGATGCATCAGGGTATGGATGGAGTGCATCTGCTCTGCTTCTGTCTTTGTCATCCTCTCTTCCTGTTGCTGCCTTGGCCGCGTCTGAGCCAATCCTTGACCAGGCACGGTGACGAAAAAGACGACTGAACAGTTCGACGAATGGCGTCGATGAGGGACGGAATGAAACCCAACGTGGAGCAAACCCCCAAGCAAAAAAAAAAAAAAATAGTACCAAGCATACAAGCATCCCGAAACAAACGGCCCATCAGACTTTGCAAATATGCACTGCATGTGCATCTGCCGTTGTTTTGGGCAAAAGGTTGGCATCCTACGACGAGAGAAAATGACCAAAATGACCAAAAGGACGAGGCATTTGGTCCCCCCACCAGGTGCAGCCGAAACAGCATGGGCCATCCTTGCCGCTTCTGCGGGCGTTGGAAGGCCTTCTTATTCCTTCCAGAAGAGCAGGGGCACGTACGGCCAACCGCCCGATGGCAATCAGGCGTGCAACGAGCCGCCGCGGAAGCGGCAAGTCTCTTCGTCTGTTCGGCGTCTTTCATAACTTGGTTGGACCAAACAACGCGAGCAATTTGACTCTTCTTTCAGGCTTACTTCATCTTGATTGTGAAACAGACCACAGCAGGGATCTTTGGCAAGAATGGGGGAACATGGATTTCACGACGAACAGGGAACGAAGCAAAGGAGATCAGTTTATTCGTTGGCGAAAACAATGAAAACAGTGCATATTTCACGGAGACGAAGGACACGTTGAGCAAAGGACCTTAACAGATCGACAGTGCGAGGTGCTTCTGCCTTGTGCTGAGAATGTGATGTGCCCTCGCACAGTTCCTTCATGGAAATGAGACTCTGTTTTACACGTACGGCCGTTTTGCAACAACGTCTCGGTATTCCTGCAGTTTCCCTCTTTGACTTGTGTTTTGTCTCTGCCTTCTCAGCCGTCCCAGTCCCTAACAAGACGACCGGGGAGATGAAAACAAGGGCGAAAAAGGCTGCTGTAGTTGTCTAGTTGTCTCCATTCTCATTTTGATCGAGCCAGTGCGCCATCTGGTCCGTACCTTTGAAAACAGAGAAAATTAGAAAACACGCCTCCAGGAAAGGCGACATCGGGAAAGTAAAGGACGTGCAGAAAAGGCTACCCAGGTGCACAGGTGCACAGGTGCCCAGGTGCCCCTACTCTCTCAAGCTGCATGCATGCTGCACGTTGTAGCCTAACACACCGTAGCGGGCATCTGTGTGCGCAGAGTTTTACAGCTTGTGCCGATTCGGCGTGTTTCTTGACAAGGCTGCGTGTGCAGTAGCGTTTTCACGGCATGGGATCTCCCCTTTGGGAAGAAGAAGAAATGTGAAAAAAGTGAAGATTTTTCACAACTGCAAAAGGATGTGAATGAAACAAAAGGAACTGACTGAGTAAATAAAGGAGATGTGATTGAGGCCAGCCCTGTCAGCCTATCGCTGGCACGATCGACCGTCCTGTCTCTCCTCCCATTGTTCGGGTCTGTCCCGTTTCGGTATCTGAAGCACGGTAGAGCTTAGCTGAATCGAGACCGCAGACCTTTGACCAGTCATCCGGCTCCCAGACAGTTTCGTTGGTTGCGCCTCCTTTTGGTTGCAACAGGAAACAGTGGGCCGTTCATCTCTCATCCCTCGTCTCTCATTTTTCAGCGTCCTATTTTATTTATTTTGGTATCTGCAGTTTTGACCCTTTTTCACCGTCTTTTTCATATTCTTACACGTTGTTTCACCGACACCCAGACGGCAACAAAAGAACGAGGGTGTCCGCTGGTTCTCGCTCGCTCCGGAGTGGATCTTATGGGGCCTGGATCTTATGGAGCTGATGAAGCAAGAGAAAACGATTCACACTGAAAACTCAGACCCAGGGGGGTGAATGAGCTGCACGCTTGGCGGTGACAAAACAGCTTCATTCTTGCCATTTGCCTTGTCTGCTATGCATTCATCAACGTGCAATGGCCACGACTGAAAATTTTTCAAGTGGAGCAAAACAACCGTGGAGTCCGAAGGAGATGAAAATGAAGGTGTAACGGGGAGAAATGGACAACAGGGCGTGAAAGAGGCGCGAGCCTGTTCAGACACATTCGTGATTTTTCTGGGTATCATTACGTCGCCTGAAGCAACAGACAAAAGGCGAGATGGAAAAGTGCAATGAAATCTTGCAATGGGTGTGAGATTAAAGGCGCCTTCTCGCTGTCTAGCCATTCTCACAGTACGCATAACATCTACATACGACGTACTCCCCCGGCGTACTTTCAAACGCTCTCGTTAAATTGCAAAGGGAGGGGGTTGATGTAAAAAGCCGAAACCAGAAAAGAAAATGTCCGACAAAGCCACAATATAACAAGACAACGCAAAACACGGGACAGGATACTTAACGTCGGCGTACCAGGCGACGGGAGTATCGCAACGCCTCTTGAGCGTCAGACATATTCTATCCCACTTTCTAGAGACTTTTACCACAGGCCCATCCGTCGACAGTCTTCTGAGAAGGATTAACATATATAAGTGCACGCGGTCACAAAGCAGCTGGGAGCCCGTCCGTTCCCTGCCTTTTCTTGATTTCCGGGAACGGCTTGATATCTACTTTTTTTATTTCCGTCCGCTCTGCCTTTTGTGCAGGGCCATTCCTACACATCCACAGACCGCATAAACAGGACGGGCGACGCACAAAGTAGCAGCTATGCAAGCCGTGTCCAGGCTGTGTGCGGGATCGCAGCGGCTTCTCATCGCATCTTCCCCGGCTGATATCGCTCTGCAAAATGCGTGCTATTGCATATAGTGCTGTAGATCAGAATGGGTCACAATAGATCAGACAATAAGAAAAGGAAGAGGAGACGGGTCCTGCAATTGCGTCAGATAGATGCAGTCGTCGGTATTGAGAATATGCAGCTATTCATGACAAAAAAGAAAGGAACGCTCTACAGGAATATCCCGAACCCAAGAGACGGGTGGTGGTTGCTCACAGAAACACATCAGAGAAAACGCATCAAGCTACATAGTGGGCAAACAAGATCCCTTGCCGTCTATGACCGCTGTCACGCATATATGATGAGAGACCTGGCGGTGATTTTGATGAATTTATCTTCTCGCGTCATTGCTTCTAATTCAGGGCCGGCATATGAATATTTTGTTTGTTGCATGGATCCAGCCTTTTTTCATACTTTTGCCGAATGCCAGCATGGACATTCGTCCTGCGCATTCGTCGTGCATCAGGGTCCTGCAATATCAACAAGGAAATCAAAACATACGTGGCGTCATGTGTACGCCGACAATGTCGCCCCAGTACGTAGACGAGACACGACTCCAGGAGAGGTCGATTGACAAGACGATACCCTCGTTGAGAGGAGGTATACTGTACATTGTACGTCGTATGTTGTGCGATCCCCTGGAGGAAAACTTGACATGCCGGTTTGTTTTCATTACACAACCCAATGAAAGCCGTGATTCCTCAGTCGTTTCCATGGAAAACTCTACACCCACACCTGTTCTCCTTTGCATCCACGATTCTGCTCCACCGTGGCGAAAATTAGTAAAGCACACCACGACCATCTTGTCACGGTCTCCTCACCACCATATTGGCTGTTCCTTTGACTCCTCCAATAGGGCAGCCACGGTGTGTCCACCCGCATAAGCCTGGAAATATGGTGTATTTCTCCTCTTCACGAATGGCAGGGCTTTGGAAAGCGACCTTGCCACTTCTGTTGGGCCTTCGTTGGGCTTCGTAGCCTCCTCTTCTCACACCCATCAAAGCCGCCACCACAAAAACATGCAACGGTCTGCCGTTTCTGGCCGTCGCCTCTGCCACCTGGTGCTTCGAATTGAAACGGCCCATCTAACGCGGTACCTGTTCCAACAGCAACCAACATGTTCGCCAGCAACAAAGAAATGTCGTTCGGTATGGTGGAAATTACTGTGATCCATTTTGCTCCATGGCCGGTTTCGGACAGACCTGCGTTGTCGTCCTCCACAGGTTCGATTGCGGAGAACTCCGTATGCCATGCTCAGTACAGGTGCAACCAGCGACGCACGGAGTATGTTGTACGAAATACAGAAGTACAGGCACTCCTTTGCCGGCTCTAGATCTGGCCCCATCCGGTGTGTCTCTCATAACGTAACAGAGAGGCAATGCGATAGAGGCATGTATGCAGGAAAGGAGGCAAAAGATGAAAAATCTGTTGTGAGGCTGTCTATAAAACCTTTCATTACTTGGCCCGTTTCGAGCTGATGAGCTCCACATACAAACTCTTAGCAGCAAAACTAAACACTCCCTTTTTCAGACTTTTATTTCGTACCTTTGTACGTTGTAAACTCTGCGGGGAGAAAGCTCTGGCTGGACTGGTCTGGGCCTCCATAGTACTACTCCATTTTAATTTTCTGCTCCATATTCTGTATGATGACTGCCCCATCTGCTCCAGAGCAGTGACGGCCTGTTTCCCTTTTCCTCTCTCGCCTCCTATTTCAACTTTCTGCACTTGGACAAAACGGGAAAACGACCTACGTAGATCACCAAAAAAAGGAGGGAGAAGAAGAGGAGAAGATGGGTCTCTCCAGTCTCGGTCTCCAGTTTCGTCACACACGGCCACCCTGGCCATCGTCTCTCTTCTTGTCGACGGAGTACATCGTACACAGTAGCATGTCGTCCTTCCCCTCTCCTCCAAGTGACCCTATTACCTAACAAAATGGGCTTCCTTGGCGATGCTTGGGATACTTGGCTCCTTGGGTATTTTGATTTCTCCAGGGCGGCATTGCTCCGTTCTCTTTTCAATAGACTCGAGTCCGGAGGGTTACAGTGCACAGAGCGGACGGAGCAGAAAAGACACCATCACCAAGCCGAGGAATACTGTGCCTCTCCTCAATGCCCCCTCTCCCCCCATTATCCTTGAAAAGAAGGGGGTGAAATCGTTTTAGACAAGTTCAAAGGCTCTAAAATGGCACGCTATTTCGTTGGTGCCAAAACGATGGCGGCGCGGTTGACGCGACCGCACCCTCTGCCCTTTGAAAATCTGGGGAATAGCCCGAGCCAAAATGGAAAAAAGAAAGGTAGGGAGAGGAAAAGAGGAGACTGAAAAAAGTAATTCTGTACATATAGTATGGAGCCATTGTGGAGTCGACTGATGCTGGACGCTATCCACAATGAACGTCGAAAAGAGGCAAGGCGCCGGATGGCCCTGTCCATCGTTGCCCCAGATTTTTTTGGTCTGATTTTTCTTTATCCTTTTTAATTCTTTTTCTTTTTATCGATAGATTACAGAATAGGGCAGATAGGGTTTCTTTCTTTCTTCTCCTCCTTTGCCCTCCTGAACAACTCCTCACGATCAACATCTAGCGCCAGCATTAGCCAACAACGTGACGCCTCCTCGTTGCGACCAGTGTCCTTGTCCTTGGAAACCTGCATGGGGCTAGAAGGAACCATTCGACTTCTGCGACAGAATGGTGGTTATGATGCTGGTGTCCCCTGCGCCATGGGAACGGTTATTTGTCCCAAGTACCTCACCGTTGGTTAGCGTCGTCCCTTGTCTCCCTGTGTCTCTTTCGAGTTGTCAACCAACCCCGAGAGTCCGAGTCCGTTCGTAACTCTCCGTCAGTGGACTCCAACTAGTCGCAACCTACTCCCACATCAGTCATTATGCACTCTTCGTCATAGCTTGTCCCCTCTATCGGGGCACCTCTTTGTTTTTTCTTGGGAGAGACAAGCCCACCATAGGACCAGGTACTCACTCCCAACGACTGGGAATGTCTTCTCTGAAAGGAAGCAATACAAAGCGAGCAGCTAGAAAGGATCCCGCGTGTTGGGCTTAACCACCGGTCTTTTACCTGTTGTTGACTTATTTGACCAAACCCCCTTTCGTGTCGAGCACAAAATGTAAGGATCGTGATGAAAAGAGGGAGACTGCGCTATGGAGACTGTTATGGAGTCAAAATGGGGACAGGACGGGGCAGATGGGGAGTATCGTGGAGCCCTGTTGCAGACAGTAATTTGTCTCCCTTTGTCAGATGCGGAGTGAAACAAAAAAAAAAAAAAAAAAAAAAAAAAAAGGACCATACCACGAAATAAGAGGCCTTTCACGCAAGAAAGGTTAGCCCTTTTGCAGCTCCGTCCGCAGCTCCTCGTCTCAGCTCCTATTCTCAGCACTTTGCGTTGACGTTATTCAGGGCAAGGAAGCAAGAGTCAAAAGTCTTTCACACTTCATGAGAGGCTCTGTTTCGGGGCGCTTGATTGGAGGTGACCTTGGTGTACCTGGCATTTGTTCATCTACGCTATATACTTTTCAAGTACTAAAAGTCGCATCCATGTAGCTGCAAACAGCCAAAACTGCTTGGTCTGGCTTTTGTGGCAGTTTCGTTGTAAAAGCATATTCTTTTTTCGCAACTGCGCTTTCCACAAGTGCACTAACATGGACTTGTCACTTTCATACGTTTTTGTTAGTATGGTGACTTTTGTTCCCGTTTGCGTCTTGCCACTGTGCTATTTCGTTTTTTTTTTTGTTTTTTGTTTTTAAAAAAAACAACATAAAAAACAATAAAAACTTGTTTATTTTGTCAGACAGCACACAAATGCTTTCTTGACAGGCACTTCCTCTTACGTTATACCGCACCGTCTGTTTCAAACAAACAATTCGGACAACAGGTTATGCACACTGGTGAGGCAAAATGCGCAAAACGATGCAAAATAAATCGTACAGACCCAAGAGAAAACTCTAACTGTGGATGCCGATCCTGGTTTTTTGAGGGCCGTTTCGCAGTCGCTCGACAAACACGTGTAACAAGAAACCGACAACAGAGGCTGCGCGTCCGCCAATGCACCAGAGATACCCACTGTTTCCGCCACAGAGTGACTAAGAACTGTTGTTCTTCCTAGACAAGCCGTACAGAGGAGAATGGGAAAATACAGCGGCCAAGAGACACTATGGAGCTTGAGGACAAAACAAAGCGTACGAAGTACGCACACATTCATGCTTGACTCAGTGCTCGCTTGCTAGGAGGCAAAAGCGGAGACCTCTTATGGGTCTGTCTGCCTCTTTTTGGTTCTCCCCCGACCACGTCGTTCCATGTTCCGTGCAACGACTCTGCGTGCATGCACGCCACATCGTGGACTGAGGCCGTGGCTGTGACGTGTTGACAAGAGGGCGGTACCAAACGAGACACGTCCCCGTAGCGTTCACGGCTGGTAGATCCTGCTGGCGCCGCAGGGCAGAATTTTCAATTTTGTCTGTTGGCTGTTGTATTTTTTCTTCCATTCGACACAATCCAGGGGCAACGTCTTCACTACAAAAAAAAAAGCCTTTCATGCCAATGGACCTTTGAAAGGTCTTACGCCCCCTGTGGAGAACCGCATGTCCTAATATGAATTGTTACTCATCAAGCAATGGGTGTTTTGAGCACATTTCTCTCAATATGTTTCGAGAGAAGGGGAAGTGGAGATACGAAGGTGAAACCATTGGAAGTACGCGGTCAAAGATATAGCCAAGAAGGGACAGGATGTTGGTTCGGTAAATAAAGAGAAGGAAAAAGAGGAAGCGAAGCTCCGCTCTTACTCTTTCGCCCACGCTTGGATTGCTTGTACCTATAGAAGGTACCCTATAGTAGAGCGACTTTATAGCAAAGACTAAGTGGTGTCCCTCTAGTAAACAAGATGTGCGATCAAGTGAATACATATGAATTTCAGGTCAAAGGGTAAATGTCCTTTGCCCGTTTGAATTTTGCGCCTTTCTCAATCGTTTGAGAAGATATGTGTGTCCCTATGCTGATCTCGTAATTCCAATAACAATTTCCCGGGGCTCTTCTTTTGGCCCTTTCCAAGTAGTACAACAACGTGATAGAGACAGGTAAGATAGAAACAGGCAAGGCTGGTGGAGTGGTATAACATGTTGGTAGAAGACAAGAGGAAATAAACAAGAGATGAAAAAAGAGGCTTGCAGTTGGTGTTTCCCGAAATATAGTCCCTGTATTCCCATGAAAATGCAGTGTGTGTGATGTGTTGTTTGTTGTGATTGTGTTCCGAATGTCCTAATTCGCCAAAGTAAAAAAACAAAGAAACTTTTTATGATGCTGATTGAAGAACTCCCAGGTGAAAACAAATCAAAGTTGGCCGCGCGGTCGTTGTTTTTGAGACAAGGTAACAAAGGAAAAATCAGAGTGGAAAGCAAATTTCATGCTCATGAAGAAGACGCAGTCGCTGTCGTGACGTGGTAGGAGTATTGTGTTGGGCGTACTGTGTCCAGAGTACTGTGTCGAGAGAAAGGGGGTATGGTGAGCAAAGCGTCGTCTAGCAAGACCGCCGGCGCTGCAGCTGGCGCTGTAGTTTCCCCTGCTCCAAGGAGCTGGCGTACTTTCGGAGCTCGCTCCGGACCCTCTCCGACAGGTCGCTGCTGTTGCTGGCGGTGGACGAGCCGTAGCTGGTCTGGCTGCTGGTGCTGCTCATCGTGCCCGTGCCGTTGTTGGCAAACGCGCCCCCGGCGCCCAGAACCAGAGCGTTGGGGCCGCCGGCCGAGCTCATGCCGCTGCGCATGGAGCTGAGGCTGCTGTGCGAGCTCGAGGGCGAGAGCACGTGGTGGTACGTCGTGGCGGTCGTCGCGGTGGCGGCCGTGGTGGTGGGTGGCAGGGACGAGACGTGCCGCGGGGAGGAGACGGCCGTGGTCGGGGGTGCGGGCTGGCGGGTGTAGTTGTAGCTGTACGTCGAGGAGGAGGCCGCACCGTAGTACGGCTGGGCGTTGCCAAAGTCGTAGGCGGGCGACAAGCTAAACAGTTGCCGGCTGCGAGGCGTGGGCGCACCCATTGCCCATTTGTAGGTGGAGGAGCCCGACGGCACCCAGGATGGTGAGCCCGGGCCCGAGGGCGGTGCGAAGGAGGTGGCACCCTCGTAGTCGGCCAGGCGGCACGATTCTGAGCAGTAGGCCGGGCCGTCAGTCTGCTTGTCGCAGGTGAGGCAGAAGTGGTGATCCCACATCAGGTCGTTGGCCATTGTGAAGGTCGTTAAGTTGGGTGGTGGTTGTGAGAAACGAGTGATGAAGCTGTGGTGCTGCCAATACCGTTCCAGGTCAGAGACGTCGAGTCTGTGCGGTCGAGGAAGACGGTAGAGTGCCGAAAGACGAAGTTGTTACAATGTCGAGGTCATGGAAGAGGAGACGAGTCGTTTGGACAGAGAGTGAGAGAGACGACGATATACGGAGGACAGTAGAGTAGGAGTAACAAGGAGCGAGGTCGAGAACAGAAAACAAGTTGACGTAGTGTAAGGCAGAGATGAAGGAGAGAAAGTAACGAAGTGAGGTCGAAACGTTGCTTGGTCGAAAACTTGCTTGGTTGCAAAAGAAGGGAGGTTATTGAGAGATGTTGTATTTGGAGCAGGAGAGGAAAGAAGGATGAGGTGGGAGAAGCATCTATTTTGTATGTTCGGACCGTCATACAAAGGATACTGGGATTCACACGCCCATAGACAGAGGTCAGAGTACGTACCCTGGCGTGCTCCATACACAAACTGACCTCTGCTTAGCGGCCCTTGCAAATAGTATGACCTAATGTCGTACCCCCATACCCCCAGTTTTTACTTTTTACGACCTCCTGCTCTCTCAACACTAAATAAATAAAAAGATAAAAAAGGCAGTAGCCAGTCCTGGAAGCCCCGCTTTTTCTGTTGTTCACGCCCCCCTCCTTTCCTGTCTTTTCTGTGCATCCGTACCCCTCCCCCTGGTCTCTTTGCTCTTTCCCTTTTCTGTCCTGTCCCTTTTCACTGACTCTCAAATGTCCTCTTAACTACAGGATCCACTCATGTATGTCGTGGATGGGCAGGTACTGTTGTTCTCCCTCTATGTCCATTCTTGTGAGGAAAGGAGGCGTGGGATAGCGGGAGAGTGGGAGAGGAGGAACGAATGAGACAGAAGACAAGGAAAGAAGGAGCAGACCACGTTCCACGGACTGCTGGTCTGCTCGACCAAAACAGCCAAGAACGAGAGGGCCCTGGTGACCACACAAAACAAGTCCTTCTCCACTGTAGCAAGGCACGTTCTTCGTCGAACAGCGCCTATGAGTTCTTGTTTCGTAACGAGAAGCCTGCTTTTTAACATACGTTGGTGTGTTTTTGCTGGTCATTCGGATCGACTGGTTGTTGGGGGCTGTGCGCCTGGGCTCTGTTTGATGGGTGTGCTTCCCCTCATTTTAGCGCTCTTGCGCTAAAAGCAGCACCTGAAGCGCTGAAGCGGATTTCCTCACAAGGGCAGGAGGGACACTGGTTGTTGGTAGCGCCATGCGGTACGTCTGTGGTGTTGGTGACGTGCGATCTAGGTACACAAAAAAAAAGTGAAAAAGTGACCCACTCTGGCGCTAGCGCTCTGCGACTCCCTTCTGTGCTGTCCCACACACAGCTGTGGGGGAAAGAGAGCACAGGGCGTGGATCTAAGTGAGTCAGATTGCAGGCAGACAAAGCAAAATTTTCTTTCTCGTTCGGTGGACCACTGGCGCCTACAAGGCGCTGGACGCACAGGGGCCGTTCTGCACATCTCCGTGGATTTCGTCGCTGTTCTGTCGCCTTCCAGGAGCCGCAAGGCGCTGTATTTCGTGTGTCCCATCCGTGATTTCGTAATTTGCGCCTTCACTGCCAGAGCATAAGACTACCAACAAATGCACACGCCCACGTCTCCCTTTGTTCGCTTCTCACGTCTCACCTGATGGTCGTTTTTGGTCTGCTGTTTGCAAAATAGGACCATGGCACCACAGAACCACACCATACATCTGGTTGCTACCGTCATCTGCCCACGCCATCGGCACAATACGGCGTCGTAAGAGAGAAAACGACAGCACAAGGCGACGAATATGAGGAAAGACGGGTGAGAACGTTGGCAATCGTAACGGGCGTCTACGGGCATTTGCGGGACCATGCAGTTTCCCCCGAGCCGTGTAGACACACAGTGACACACTACGTGTGGCCATGTATGGCCAATCTGTGACCACATTCCATCGATGGGATTTGGTCTCTCTATGTTTACGTTTTTCCTTTTTAGCAAGAGGCATTTCCTTTTTTTTTTTGCAATTGAGTCAAAGAAGACCGAAAATACACCAGAGGATTTCTCCGTAAGAGACGAAATGACTGACCCATGATGGATCGCCGGTCATGAACCGATCGATGCCGTGCTTGGTGGCCAAAGGGGCGTGGAAGCTGAGGACGATGAGGCAACCCCGGCGATGATATTGAGAATTGCGTGTGGCAATTGTGCCCGCTGCTTTCCTCTTGTGCAGCTTTGCTCAATTTCTTTTATTGTATTCTTTTTATCCTTTGTGCCTTCTCTTTTGCTCTTTCGCTGTATAGCTGTTTTGCTTTTGTTTTTCCTTTTGCGTCTTTTTTGACATTGGACTCCTTATTGCCTCCTTCGTATCGTACAATGTCATCTCGCTTTCTCCCTTTCTAGGCCCGTTGCCAGGGTATTTGAGTGATGATCAAATTGGGAGAGACATGCATTTTGAATTACGGTGAGCCTTTTGCTTTTGAAAATTTTGCACTGGGTGCAAGTTGGAGTCAAAACGAGAATGTTGTGAAAGACACGATGATCGAAAAATCAAACAAATCAACAAACCAGTCACGGTCGAGAGCAATGGCGCCATACGATTTACAAGCGAGGGAGGCAAAAAAAAAAGAGCGAAGCTCAAGCAAAAAAAAAATAGTGGAGGACTCTACTGGAAAGGTTTTCTTTCCCGAGATTGGCGTTCAATAATGTCTTTTGGGAGCCAAACTACTTTCAGCCAAAGGGCAACAACACTGAACCATAGCAGAGTCGCTTCCGTTTTTCGCCCGTTGGTGGCTTGTCGCAAGCCCTAGGCATACAATGCAACAGTGAGCCAGGGGAGGAAGCAAAGAGAGAACGGAAGAGAAAATTTTCGGGTTGGGGGCCGGGCCTTGCACATTCGTAGGCTCGACAACACTGGACCTGCAGGAGTTAAAGTCTTACAATATCCAATATGGTTCGCCTACGGCGAGTCCGGCGGGCGGGTATGGGGACAAAGGACAAGGTATGTGAGTCGTGACTCGTCAATTGCATTCGATGCTTTGTGCTCATGTTTCGCTCTTTGCTCTTTTGTTGTCCGACGCCATTCCTCGCATCGAAGAACAAGGCTGTCGGCTTTCTTGGCTGTATTATGCAGTCGTCTAGTTTCCGTTGGCTCTGTCAGCCTTCAACTCGCAATGGCACCATCTCTTTTATCGGTTCGATTTTCGATGACTTTGTTGCGCATGCCACGATATTGTAAATATACAAAATCAAAAATATTGAAAAATAAATCCCAAAACATTGAAGAATACAACAAAGTTTTTTCAGCATGTCACGTTATCTCAGAGGCCTCTCATTTGCAACGTCACCAGACTCGTGGAGCTTGTGACCTCTTTCTCTTGCGGGAAAGGGAAAGACAAAAAATGAACATACGACATCAGCGACGCCGCAAGCTGGCCCTGGCACCCACCAACAACACAGCCCTACTCTGCTTTACTACCTCGCTCTTCCAAGACATTCTGCACGCATGACAGACAGCTGGGTCGTGATGATACGGCATGAAGGCGAGGGGGTGTGAGGCGTTGACGTTTTGGGAACGCATGCTTGTCTCTGATATTGTGGGTTACGGAAGGTTTTTTTTTTTTTTTTTGGGTTGCTGTAGGAAAGCATGAGGGCGAGAATTGACCAGCGAGAGGGTGTGAACCAGAGACACAGAATGGCTGGTTAAACGGACAGCTTGACAGCGTGATTCTTATCGTCCGTCGGTGGAACATACGCCATACAGTCTCAGGAATGGAGACGAACCGCGAATGAAGCGAATGAAGCAGGCTCCAGGCCGAAAAGCGCGTGGGGGTCAAACAAAGCCACCAAGGTCTCGACAGAAAGGAGAGGAGAGACAGGATAGTCTAGCCAGCAGGCCAAGTTTGGGTGTTTGTGAGCTAGTTTTCAATCTCGTTGTCCCTCCGTGTTTCCGTTATCGTGAAGGACACAGAAAGTAAAACAACGACGAACAACAGCACGCGATATAGAATGTCCCCCTCAAAAAAGCAATCTGCCGTCTGGCCATTGTACCTTACTATGCTAAGATACTTGTCGTACTTGTGCCCTCGTAGTGGACTTTGTTATTTCGTTGTTCCCCTTTTCTCGCTCTTGCGCCATGTCTTATGTGAGCTGTTCGCTTGCGTGCACATCTTTCCTCATCGTCCGTTGACAATGATTGTCAATGTGGATTCAAGATTCCCTTCACGGAACCGAATTGTCAACGACCATGCAAGGAGGCCCGAAGAAAAATGTAAGCGCAAAGATGAGGCAATAAAAAGGAGAAATGAGGAAGCTCTCTTTTTTTTTTCCAACCGAGTCCAATGTCTCACAATTGAAAATTCTGTATGTTTTGTTTGCAGCCCAGCTACAACGTACACACTGTTGGTGGATGACGAGGTCAGGAGAGACCAAAGTGTTCCAAATGACCAGCCGACAGCTACGGAGGCAGTGTCTGCCGAAACCAGTGGAGCGAGGACGACGTACGACGGGGACAACAAGCAATTGCGAACAGCAGGTCAGCCCACTCGGCGAAACAGGGTCCAGCCTTTTCTTCATAGCCTTCTGAGCCTTCTGAGCCTTTTGAACGCATCGAATGGTTCGGCCATTTCGGACACGAAGGGGAGGAAGGGCGCCGGAAAGCGGAAACAACGGGATGTCGCGCACTCGGTGGGGGCAGTTCCTTTTCTCGATTCCAGTGCTCTTGTCCCCTGGTTGTCGTCAATCTTGATCAGCGAACAACGCTCTCTAGACGATGGAATAGTAATTCGTAAGATATGTCGCAGTGTCGCCCTCAGAGAACCTGTTCGTCCGCGCCTCACGCTCCTTCCAAACTGGGCAACATTCGCTTGACCTTTGCCATCCTCAACAGCGGCTCCTTCCCTGAAAGAGTATCTGTCCCTACGAATTACTTTGTGGATTCCGACCCACCAGGCCCGCTTTGCTCCCTCTTTTTTTTTTTTTTTGTACCATTTTTTGGTGCCATTTTGGTGCCTTTTTTGGTGCCTATTTCCCCATTTGTTTTTAGGCCGCCCTTTCCCTCCTTTTCCTTTCGTGCTCGGCGGTGATCATTGTAAGGCAGTAAGGCGCGATGGAGTGGTGAGATAAAAGTGGCCTCTTTTTGTCATCAAGGCGATTTTCTCGTTTTGGCGACCGCCCGTGAAAGACCCTTGTGTATGATTGCCCAGGACGTCAGAAAAAAGTGAGGTGCCATTGCCAATTCCACTACATCGTAAATCGTACATAGTATGCTCTGATTTCGTTTCAGAGCGTCGGACCAACCAGGAGCGCGCAATCCTTCCCTCCTTTCCGCCTGGCGACTGTTTGTAATATTACGACATTCGGTCTGCTATTTCATCGCTGCTCCAGTCACCCGAGGATGCGAAAGGAACTGTCCACACACAAAAGTCGTGTGTTTGAGCAGCGTATCGCCATTGGCCGGTGGGGGTTGGTCTCTCGGGTGTTGCGCCACCCATGTTGTTTCTATTTTCCTCTGCGCCCTGGTTGCCCGTCTCCACCCACATTCTTCACCACCTGACGACGTCGCAAGAGCCTTGAAAAAGAGAAACGAAGAGGGCTCCCAGCTGTGTGCAGTGTCTGATTGGCCCTGTCCTGGACATTGGCCGTTTGAACAAAAGACGGGACGCCTTTTTGGTTATGGAGTCCTTTGAGCTTTAAAGCTTGGCTGTCAATTTACATCATGTACCCTCTTCTGGACATGCAATGCACGCTGCACTCTTTTTCAAACAAAGGCAAGAACACTTTTAAACAGAAACAGGCCATCTGCATGGACAAGAGGGGTAAACCGGGCAACAATAATGAGTGAGGAAAAAACAAGGGGCGGCTCATTTATATCGTATTTCTCTGCCAAGCCTTGTTCTTGTCTTTCTCCTTTGTCTTTCTTTCTTTCTTTTTTCTTTCTTTCTTTCTTTTTGTATTACGGCGTCTGTTAGGGAGTGTCGTCCCTTTTGAGCTCCTTGCTGCGGTTGTTATGCAGCACAATATATTCTGAATATATCCTGCAGCTGTTGGTGCGTGCTGCAGGCAGCATTTTGAGCTGTCTTTGAGGCCTCTGCTTGGCCAGCCTGGCTGCAACCCACCACCGCCCTTGTCATGGGTCCTTAGCACTCATCATTTTGGTCAGGCAGTCTTCTTTCTGGCTCTGCTTGTTTTACGCTATACTGACTCGAAAGCCTCCCACATCTCTTTCTACCAAGTCGGAAAGAAATAGAAGGGGCTAGTTGCCTAGCATGTTCCTCTTTTACTTGACGACTGCTGCAGCGTGCCGTCCGGTGCATGAACGTCGACAGACTGCCCTGGCCGATGAGGTAGGTACCCGGTGGGGATGCTGGTGCACGGAAAGGCTTCGGTGGAAACCCGAATTGCCCAATGAAATGGGAATGTCACAAGAGGGAACGAAAAGAGCAGAGACAGGCAGATGGAGACGCGCGACGGAGAAGCAAGGCAAGCTTAGGAGAGACATCTCGAGACAAAGCTCGTGACTGACTACATGCTTTCCCATCAGGCAGATGTGTCCCTTGCTTTTAATCCCGTCTCAGCTTTTGCTCTTGTTCTTTTGTCTGCGTGCAAACGACAAGGCTGGCGGGACAATTCAGGGCCCGCAGCTGGGTTAACGGTTGGTGCAACAAACATGCACCTCCTCCTTGCTGCCATGACTAGGCAGAGCTGGACAGAGCTGGGCGGCATTCGTTGCAACAAGGACGTAGGAAAGAGCCAGCTTGTCGAGTCTGTCAAAATACGACGTATATGGGTGTAGCTGTATGTCGAACGGTACTCTGGGGCGGCTACTAAAATAGCAAAGAAGAGTCAAATTCGTGGTGAGAGAGATGTAGGGGTCTGATTCGTCTGATAGCAAGGTTCGAAGGTCCATCGCATTTTATGTGTCCAGGGGGTGGTTGTCTCTCGTAGTGTCATAAGCGGGTAACGGTTTTGTCTGTTTTGTTTTCTTCTATCCCTTTTCTTCAAGCACCTTTTCCCCCTGCCTTTCAACGCTAACCACGCGCTGTGTTCCTCTGCAGTGTCGTTTTTTGAAAATGAACGGCATGCGCGGGTGTGGTTGTGAGACAGAGCTAGAACAGACAGAGGAAGACTGGAAAATGGGGCAACGAGACGAGAACGCTGTCATTGAGACACGTCAATTTTTACTTTTTTACGAGTACGAACACCAGAGACACTCCGCAATAAAGCAGATAACAAGGGAGGCGAATAAAAAAGGAGACGAACCAGGAGAAACCAGACACACAACATTGGGACACAACTGACCTAAAATTAACGAGTAGACTCGACCTCGAGCTCGACCTCGAGCTCGAGCACATACCGTCATTACAACTCAGCCGCGCCATTTATAACCGCATGCGGAGTTCTGAGTTCTTGAGCTTCCTCGCATAGCATGTACTCCGTATCTTTGCTTCCTTTTGGCACAATTGTTTTGCACTTGGGCGTCGGACCGCCGATGGACACCCGCACAGCCAAACAACGCACCTCAAAGTGACCACGGGGGTCTCGTCTTGTTTGGTAAGCGAGATTTTGAACGTCTCTCCACGTCGTTGCTGCGACCCCCCGAACAAAAATCCCTCTGCTGTGCATACGACGCAGATGGGCAAGTGGTCAAGAGACCAACGAAATTGAGGTAAAAAAGGGAGCATACACAGTAAAAGGAAAGAAAAGCAAGGGGCGCGGGATGACCAGAGTCACGATGCATCATGTATGTGTTGAAAAAAAAAAAAAACGAAAAAAGAAGGAAAGAGAACAGATTTTCGCAGCCGTCGCTCAACAAGCATGCCCCTGACCTGTCTTTTTACTCTGCCCGTCTGTCTCGTCGGTTTTCAAACCCCTGTCTCTCGCCGCTCCCCAGACTTTTGCCCCTGCTCCAAGACAAGTCTGGAAACAATTCCAAGCAAAAGCAGGGACTGCGTGCGCGCGGACAAGCATGCAGAATCTCTCAAGACTGCACACCACGACGAAAGAAGAGGAAAACAGGCACTGCAACACTCTCCTTTTTTGTCTTATTTCACGCAGCCCTCCTTCCTACGTGCACGATGCGTCGTATGCAGTTAGGCGCAATATCCGCGGTGGGGAACATGGTCAAGTAAGTTGTACTCAGTACAAATTCATAAAAGAGAGGAGGACGACGAGGGTTGGGCGGAGGACAACCACAAGGAGGGGGAGAGAGGCAGAACAAACCAGGTCGACGAAACCACAGCGTGGGGATGCTTTCTTTTTCCAGTCTCCTCCTTGTTTGCGAGTGCTCCTTTGATTTGTTGAAATCCAGTCATTTTTCACATTTTCTGGCCGTCGTAGCTGCATTACATTTGCGAGTGTGTCGCTTTTGTCGTTGCGAGGTTGCATTGCGTCTGGGAGCTAAAGGGTGGAGTGGCTTTTCGAGGGACGCATGCGCTCGTTTGGGTTTAACGTGGAAGTGATGAGAAGAAAGACACGGAGGACCTTTTGTCTGCAACCTTTTTGCATTCCTCCTCTTTCACTAGCGTCATGTCTGTGTTGTGTTGCGTGGCAGCAGGAGAAGCTGAGAAGGCTTGCTGTTCCTGGGAGAACTGCAGCCAGATGCAGGGAGCATTCAGAAGATACGAAGGGCGAACTGCACACCCTCACTCACACACACACACACTCTCTCTGCAGCTGTACCCTCCATCCTGACCTACTCTGATCCTCGCTCCAACCACAGCCCTGGACATATCTTACAGTCTAGCAAGCCAACCATGCCTTTTTCGCATACTGCGTAGGTCCCTTGTCTTGCCTTTCGCCCACCATTCGCAATCTTGGCCCTGAAAACGAGGCAGCCGTCGTCACAGGCATTCCATCCACCCACCTCCCACACCTTTTACCACATTGTGTCCACATTGTCTGGCCACGCTCTTACTCTAAGCGTACGAGTCCTGTTTCGACGACACTTTCTCTTGTGTTCATGCAAGTCTCGAGTGCCAATGTCGTGGACGACATTCTCCATCTTCATTTTCCATCTCCATTCTTCATACTCCGTGCTCCGTGCTCCTCGATCAACGAGCAGGGGTCTAATTCGTACAAGGTGACGGTTTCCTTGGTGAACGTCCATGTGTTTCCATTGCCTGTCTCGATACGACGTCAGTCGACGCAGCGGACAAATCTCCTTCCACACCTCGCAGCCCAACAAAAGAGGCACCAACAAAGAACAAGCCAGACCAAGGGTATCTCCACTTTTCGCGGCCCGTACGGACACAGCCAGCGCTACCACTGGCCGGTCTTTTTTGTTTTCTAGGGCGCTTACACTGTAGTAGTTGCTGGTCTTTGGGTCACTTGGGGCGCTTTAGTGCAAGGGAGCGGCCATGGCACTATCTGTGGTCGCCGACTTGACGTGTTGACTAGCCCCTGTTTGTCCAGAGCTTTTGGCGGCAAACACACGCCGACGGAACAGACTCGACGAACCAAAGGAGAGGCTAAACTCCAAACGCCCGGCCTGGCCCACGACTGGAAATTGGAAAAGACGAACACCTCCAAGAGTGAGAGATTGAGACAGTGGCATTTCAATATTGGCACGCAGGTGCATAACCTGACCGAGAGGAGTAACAAGGAGTGACGAGGAGTGAACACATCGTGAGGCTCCTGACCATTCGTACTCTCGTAATTTCTCCTCACTGTCTCGCGGTTCTCCCGAAATACGAAGGATTCGAGCGTTGCGTGTTTTACATGCCAGATGGCAGAACAACAAGAAGAAAAATGGTCGGAACGGATCGTCCGAAACAAAGCCAAATGATATGAAAGGGTGCCAGGATGAACATAAACAGAGGGAGGGCAAGACGCGTGGTTTCGATCGTCGGGTTTGTGTTTCTGGCATCTTG